TTCGTAAAAGCTCGTAAATAATTCTCAATTGTTTGATTAAGTCTCTCTGTCACACCATTTGCTTGGTGCCGAAAAGCGGTGGTCAATTTTTGATGCGTGCCTAACATTTCACATAATGTTTCCACACGGTGGCAGTAAATTTTGGGACCCGATCAGAAAGTATCTCTGATAGAACCCGATGCAAAACGAAGATGTGGTCTCGATACAGCTCAGCTACATCCTGATGAGTTGCCGTAGAACAACATACCACGAAGTGTGCACGCTTAGTAAGCTGGTCGACAACTACAAGCACTGAATCGAACTTCGCCTTCGCCATCGGCAATGGCAACATGAGACCATCTTGTATTTTGGTATCGGCTGTGATTGTAGCAAACCAGGGGGTTTTGTATTGCGTGCCTTGGTTCGCTGACAAGTTTCATAAGTTTTCACCTATGCCCTCACAGTACGCATCATATACCTCCAGTAATAGTGTTGCTCCACCAATCTGAGCGTTCGTTCAATGCCCGGATGACCGTAACACTCGACGTCATGAAATTCGTACAATATGCTGTTCAATATTTCGTCAATAACGGGTAAAACAAGTCTCGGAGCTTCATCATTGGGTCCAGAGTAAAATAATTTGCTTCCGACGAGGTTGTAGCGTGCTAAATGTTTAATTGGTTGCGTGACACCAACCTTTGTACTCTGCAAGGCGTGCAGAATAGCCCGGATTGACATGGCTTCATTGTAGCGTGAAATTGCTTCTTCGACGACAGTCCGAATTCCCTTAGCTATACAATCTTTAATGACACTTGCTGCTACGATCTCCTCCAATGGATATGCCTCTTGAAAGTCTGGACGGCGAGAGATTCCGTCGGTCACCGAATTCGCTTCTCCTGGAATGTATTTGAACGAGATAGGATATTCGCTCAATTCGCCATACCAACGTGCGATTCTGCGCGAGATACTCTTTTGAGAGAATATGCTTTCCAGGGACTTATGATCTGTCTCAACTACAAATGGTTTGTCGAGCAAGTAGACGCGCCAAAGCCGTAACCCGAATAGAATTGCTAACAATTCGTTTTCGCGGATACTCTAGATCTTCTCAGCATCTTTATACTTCCTACCATCGAAGGCAATTGGTCTCTCAATTTGGTTATCGCATTCCAGCTGAAACAGTACTTCCCCTACAGCATACTCACTGGCGTCCATTTTTGCATATGGAAGGGACGATCCAAGCGTTGGTGTGGAGCTTAGTTTCTTCTTCAGTGACTCGAAATGTCCGACAATTTTGAACTCCATGACATTTTCTTTTTGGGTTGTCCTTTTAGAAGATCGAAGAGAGGTGCTGCATCGGTTGAGAATCCGTCACAAAATCTCTGGACATAAACCGCTGTGCCAAGGAACGACTGCAGTTCGCTCCTCGTTCGAGGTAATGGCAAGTTTTGTATGATTACCACTTTCTTTGCATCAATACAAACTACCTCTCTCCTCACATAGTCTCCTAAACAAGGTATTGCATCCACACAAAACACGCATTTCGAAAGTTTAACGTAAAATTGGTGCTTCTCCAAGCCGGTTAAAACACGATCGAGAGCCGCCAAATGGTCTTCAACTGTCAGTGATTTTGTATAGACGTAGATGTCATGATGTCATCAAAATACGATTGACAGGTATCACTTAGATGGATATTGTTCGTTGAATTCGTGTGTTGAACGTCGCTGGCGCATTGGATAAACCCATCGGTAATACGAGATATTCGTATGCTCCGTCAGCAGTTTGAAACGCTGTCAATGGTACGTCACTATCCCTCATGCAGAATTGGTAGTATCCACTTAACAAGTCCATGCAGGAATACCAATGAGAACCTTGCATTTTCTCTATTATTGTGTCCTTGTGTGGCATTGGTAATGTGCGACGAACTGTATGTGAATTCATGGCTCGATAGTCGTGCACTATTCGCCACCCTACTGCTTTTTTCACGCAGAATGTAGGAGCGCCATGCTGAGAAGGCGAGGGTCGGATCAGACCTGCCGCAAGCATCTCCTCTATCAAAGCCCTAATAACCTGCTCTTGTGCTGGTGACTGTCTCCACTGTCGACGAAAAATTGCCTCAGATGTGTCAATCTCCATCTGATGCTCACCATGATCTCTGGATGGCAATGATGAAGGCAATTTCTGTTGGAATACCCCGTGGTGCTTCAACAAGATTGAATATGCAGGGTTCTCCTGGTAACTATCAAGCTTGATAGTGCCTTGCTCTTCATTTGCCCCCTTTTCTGTCTTTGGTCGGATCGCAAAGGTAAACTCAACATCTTTTGGCTTCTTCAATAGACGACAGAATTGCTTTCCACTAATGTATTTTGTTGTACCACTACGCAGCGAATAGTATCCATCATTGAATAGTTTGTTGTTTTTCACAGTTATCCCCAATTGTGAGGCTGCATGACGGTCTTAATGCAGGTTGATGAGGTTTATGATGCATTTTCACTCTTGATTTTGGACGTTTTGTTTTTATTTTAAGGTTTGCGATTCCTTTCGTAGTCTCCTGAGTCGAGCATGGTCTAATTTTCTCTTCCATCAAATCGATGTCAGGATTAGCCGCTTTCAACCCCCGTGGAGAATGTCTTGTTCTTCTGGAACAGGGAGTACTACGAAATCTCCAATGTAAGGATCGAAAATTTCAATGTACAAGTGCTATCTCAAAGTAGTTTTGGAATTTTCATTTCTTGTCGGTTTGCCAACACGATTGGAATTTCAACACCGTACTGTCTCGTAAACCGGTACGTTCACAAAACTCAGGGCTAACCGTGTTCATGGTAGCTTCACTATCGATAAAGTTTGAATTTGTTCCTATCAAATCATCGCGGTTGCACATGACAGTGCTGTTGATATGCAGTAAACAACAATATTCACGCGGTAAAGTCAACCTAACACTTGGCTTCGCTGGAATTTTCCCAAAATCGAAAACCTCCACGTTGTTGCTTCCACTAGTCACGCTCATATACATTGTGCAATTATTTGTCTCCGTTTTGTCATAACTGGCTATTTGCATCGCCTTGGTGCGCTTCATGTTGCATTTCTGAGTCAATAGACTCCACTTCACAATTATGAACAGGCTTCAGGCGACTGAGCTTTCGAGTATGTCCATGCAAACGCTCAACATTGCATGGACTTACTCGTTTTTACCGCTGAGGTTTGTCAGAAGTCTGATTTTCACCCACTGTCATGCGCTCCAACATCGTGAAAATCTTTTTTCCGTCTTGGTTTTTGCATTTGAGTGTTTTTCGGGAAAATTAACCCAACAATCCTCGACTCTGTATGACCCTCGCCCGCAAAACTGCAATTCTTCACTGATTTTGAGCTGTTGCTGGCGATTTTGCCACCATAATTCAATCTACGAATGGTTGGAAGACTTTGTTTCCCCGAATCCGCTTGTTGAGGGGTCTCCATTTTGACCATCGTGTTATTTAGCCGATTATTAGCTGACTTGCTGCAAGCTGAATGCTTGTCTTTAAGCTCCCACTCCAGAAATACTTCTTGAATAGCAGCATTCAAGTCACTTAGTCGCTTTCGCAGGAATTTTTGTTTCATTATCGAATCGGATAATCCATTCAGAAACAAATTCATCGCAGTCAGCGAATCAACTTGAACAATGCGATTTAGTTCTCGAAAATTAGCGACATAGTCAATGTACCCACGAGCCTACTTCAATGTTAACAAATTATTGTGATTTTTTTTTGGAAGTTGGATTCCACCGACATTTCCAATTTGATTGCACTCCATAGTTTGTTGGTTGATAGATCGGTCATGTAGCGCTCGTGCCAAACTAGACGGGTTTTCTAGACACATTGATTCAATTGTTAAGCCAATTTGTCATCGTGATGAATTAAATCGTATCCTTTCTGGCGGAAATACGATTCAAATTGAAAGAAGGAGCTATTCAACTTGAATCCATCAATATAGCCAACGAAAGTCGGAGGTTTTTGTATCCATTTTCCTCAAATTGAGTTCACTCGATGAGATGGCTTCATTTCTTTCTGGCGAAGTTGCTCCAACAGTGCTCGAGCCACGAACTGTTTGACCTTGCATCTCGGACAACGCATTCGTAGTGAAATGTGCATCGAGAGTGGCTCCAACTGGTGGCGGTCTGGGCTGGGCGTGACCTGCCCTAGCTTGCCTCTGTGCATCTTCAGGAAGTTGCTGTACTCGCCTAAGTCCTTCTGCAAGATTGCTTACACTTTGCACCAATCCGGACACAGTCTGAGCCAGCGAGGAGATATCCGTGCTGATCGAGGAATTCATATTGCTGATAGTACTGTTCATATTGCAGCTAAAAGCACGACCATCACCGTGGGTCTCGTCTAAGCTTGTTTCCAGACGGTCAATTCTGTCATTTTCGGCACTGTGACGATTTCCATCCAACTGTTGCCGCACAGGCGCGGTGTCACTTCGTAACATCCTGCGAACTGTATTACGTCATTCCATTGAAGCTCAAGCTCTACTTTTCCAACTCATTGGTGGTGGGTTGGAAGAGTGGATTTGGTAGCACTTTAGCTGTAACGGGGTTACACAAAACTCTAACCGTAAGGTTAACCGGTTAGAGTTCGAGGTTTCCTGTCTTGGTGTGCGGACACACCGAGACTGCATATAGAAAGATCCTATTGGTAGAGTGCGCCACACCTCTACCAATCAGCGATGCGGATCACTGTCAGCCACTCGCTGACAGTCCCTTAGATATTAGATAATCAGTTAAGGAAGGGAACATTTTAGGAAAGAAACGCTTAACAACAATAACAGTTTTCAACTTACGCTATCTAGTTCCTATCTAGTCTTACTGTATACACATATCGTGTATACACTATACTATCTAGGAAAACCTACGCTTCCTCCTACACGTGTGCATACGTGTAAGCTAAGTAGTGAGCACTAGACCAACTACACCTTGTAGCACTTTGTAGTCCGTCCAACGACCGACTACCTTGTTCGTATGAATTATGAACACGGGCAAGAAAACCTTCCGATGGACGGGTCGTCCGTCGGAAGCCCGAGCACGTCTGCTACGCATGTGTCGCGTGCAGACTGCCCCCACCTGGTGGATCCAGAATGGGAGGCGCTCCAACGACTGTCAACAGTCATTGGGGAGGCGGCCGTAGCAACAATGCTACGCACGCATCACCGACAGAGCAACATGGTGTTGCTCTGGGATTCATCATGAGAGAGCAACGCGAGGTTGCTTCCGCAAAGCCGGTGTCTCCGGGGCGGAAGGAATACCTGAAGTTACGTGTCAGTAACTACATGGGCAGAGAAGGCGAGACCTTTATCCGCTGGCTTGTCGAGCTTGACACTGCCATAGTGGTTCGACGCCTCGTCGACCCATTGGCGAAGGTCGCCTTCGCCATGTCTT